TGGATTCTGCTGTTGTCAGGTAGAGCGAGCCATAGATGTCTGTCAAGTTTAACTGGCTTACAGTGTTCTTCAAGTCTTCTATTTACTTGACCTTCTGCTTAGCTGTTCTATCCATTATTGAAAGTAGGGTATTGAAATCTCCAACTATTATTGTAGAGTTGCCTTTTCCTAAGTTGCCTTTTTGGCTTCCTGTATTACTGGGCTATGTTGTTAGTCGTATATATGTTTTATAATTGTTATATCTTATCTAGATTATCTTTTTTCATTGTGTTTCAGATTTCATAATCAATTCGTCTTCATGTTACTCAAATCTTTCTTCTATACTCAAAACTACTGTTTTACCTCTCTAGTGAATTTTTCATCTTGGTCATTGAGTTTTTCAACTCTGTAATTTCCATTTGTTTCTATTTTGTAATTTCTAATTCTTTATCAATGCTCTCTATTTGATGAATCATTCTCATCATATATGATTCTTTACATGAAACTTTAGAATGTTTGTTTATATCCACAAAATAACTCACTAGAATTTTGACTGGGATTACACTGACCCTATATATCAGATTGTGAAGAACTGATATTTTTTATTTTTTTTTGGCTGCATTGGGTCTTCATTGCTGCATGCAGGCTTTCTCTAGTTGCAGCGAGTGGGGGCTACTCTTCGTTGTGGTGTGCGTGCTTCTCATTGCAGTGGCTTCTCTTGTTGCCGAGTATAGGCTCTAGGTACGTGGGCTTCAGTAGTTGTGGCATGAGGGCTCATTAGTTGTGGCTCACGGGCTCTAGAGTGCAGGCTCAGTAGTTGTGGTTCATGAGCTTAGTTGCTCCACGGCATGTGGTATCTTCCCGGACCGGGGATCGAAACCGTGTCCCCTGCATTGGCAGGAGGATTCTTAACCACTGCACCACCAGGAAGGTCCCAAGAACCGGCATCTTAATATTGAGTCCTCTTAACCATGAACATGGCATATCACTCCATTTATTTAAATCTTCCTGGATCTCTTTCATCAGAGGGTTTGTAGTTTTCTTCATTTAGATCTCATACATGTTTTGTTAGTTATACCAAAGGGTTTTTTTATGCTAATAAATGAAACTGTGCTTTTAATTTCATATTCCAGTTGTTCATTGCTGGCATATAGGAAAGTGATTGACTTTTGTATATTAACCATGTATTCTGCATCCTTGTTTTAATTTCTTATTTGTTCCAGGTTGTTTTTGTTGATTCTCCAAGATATTCTCCATGTCACCTGTTAACAAAGACATTTACTTCTTCCTTTCTAATCTACATACCTTTTATTTTATTTTCTTGTCTTATTGTATTAGCTAGAACTTTCCATATGATGTTAAACAGGAGTGATGAGAGGGGACATTGTGTGTTGTTCCTGATCTTACTGAGAAAGCATCTAGTTTTTCACCATTAAATATAATGTCAGCTGTATGTAGATTTTTTTGTAGATGTTCTTTATCAGTTTGAAGAAGCTCCCCTTCATTCTTAGTTTGCTGAGAGTTTTTATCATGAATTGGTGTTGGAGTTTGTCAAATGCTTTTTCTGCATGTATTTATATGATCATATGATTTTTCTTCTTTAGCCCACTGATGTGATGGATTACAGTAATTTATTTTTGAATGTTAAACCAGCCTTCTGTACCACCCCAGGAATACGTGGGATAAATCCCACTTGGTCGTGGTGTATAATTGTTTTTATACATTGTTGGATTTGACTTGCTAATAATTTCTTGAGGATTTTTGCATCTATCTTCATGAGTGATATTGGTCTATGGTTTTACTTTCTTGCAATGTCTTTGTTTGCTTTTGGTATTATGATAATGTGGACCTCAGAGAAGAGTTAGGAAGTATTTCCTCTGCTTGTATTTCCTGGAAGAGGTTGAAGAGAACTGGTATAAGTTCTTTCTTAAATATTTGGTAGAATTCACCACTGAACTCATCTGTGTTTGGTGCCTTCTGTTTTGGAAGGTTAATTATTGATTCAATTCCTTTAAAAGATATGGGCTTATTCAGATTACCTATTTCTTATTGTGTGAGTTTTGGCAGATTGTGTCTTTCAAGGAATGAAATTTCAAGTAATTGAAAGGTAATGGAATTGATCCATTTTATCTAGGTTATCAAATTTGTGGGCATAAATTTGTTCACAATATTCCTTTATTATTCTTTAATGTCGTTACAGAGTCAATAGTGATGGCCCCTCTTTTATTTCTGGTATTAGTAATTTGTGTCTTCTCTCTTTTTTTTCTTAGTCTGGCTAGAGGCTTATCAATTGTATTGATCTTTTTAAAGAACCAGGTTTTTGTTTTGTTGATTTTCTCTACAGATTTCAGCTCTAATTTATTATTTTCTTCTCCTTGCTTTGAATTTAAGTGGTGCTTTTTTCTTGTTTCCTAAATTAGAAGCTTAGATTAATGATGTTAAGAGTTTTTTCCTAATACATGTATTCAATGTTTCTAATTTCCCTCAAAGCACTGCTTTTGCTGCACCCAACAAGCTTTGATAAGTTGTATTTTCAACTTCATTTAGCTCAAAGTATTTTAAGTTTCTCTAGAGACTTCTTTGACATGTGTTATTTAGAAGTGTACTGATTCATCTCCAAGTATTTGGGAATTTCCAAGTAGCTTTCTGTTACTGATTTCTAACTTAATTTCATTGTGGTTTGAGAGTATACTTTGTATAATTTGTTCTTTTAAATTTGTTAAGGTGTGTTTTATGACCAAGAATATTGTCTTGATAAATGTTATGTGTGAGTTTGAGAAGAGTGTATTCTGTTGTTGTTGGATGAGGTATTCAAGAGATTTCAATTAGACCAGTTGATTGATGCTACTGTTGAGTTCAACTATGTTCTTACTGATTTTCTGACTGCTGGATATATCCATTTCTGACAGAGGGCAGTTGAAATCTCCAACAGTAAGAGTGGATTCATCTATTAGTCTTTGCAGTTTTGTCAGTTTTTGCTTCATGTATTTTGCTGCTCTGTCATTAGGTACAAACACATTAAAGATTGTTGTCTTCTTAGAGAATTGACTCATTTATCACTGTGTAATGCTCCCTCTTTATCCCTGATAATTTTCCTTGCTTTAAATTTTAATTTTCCTACTTGGCCTGAATTAAATAGCTACTTCAGCTTTCTTTTGATTAGTGTTAACATGGTATATGTATTCTTCTCCCTCCTTTTTCTCCCTCCCTCAACCATATCTACTCTACTGATGACTACATCATTCTTCATTTCTGTTATATGGATAGCCTTATGATTCCTTAGAACTTCCTTCTCTCTGCTTACATTACCCAACTGTCCATGCATGTTGTGTACTTTTTTTCATTAGAGCTCTAAGCATACTAACCATACTTATTTTAAATTCTCAATATGATGATTCCAATCCCTGCCATTTATGAATCTGATTCTCTTGCTTAGTTTGTCTTTTCAAACTGTGCTTTTTGTCTTTTAGTATGCCTTGTAGTTTCTGTTGTTGTTGTGGAAAGTTGGACATGATAACCAGTTGGACTGCGTAAAAGAAACTCCAGTGAGTGGGCCTTTGGCGATGTGGCAGTAATGTGGAAAGTGAAGGGAACCTTCTATACTCTTTTGATTAGATCTTAGTCTTTTAGTGATCATGGGATCCTGGTATGTGACCTGCACAACTGCTTCTCAGTCTTACTCCCCACCCCTCTTCCTCCATTTAGGTCAGACAGAAAGGCTAGAGGGAGGCAGAGTTGGGTATTTCCCTTACACCAGTTGATTAGGCTCTGGTAAAACCCAGTATAATTAAGCTCTAACAAAATAGTTTCCTTTGAGACCAGGCTTTTGTTAAGTACAGAATTTGGAGGGCACATTTCAAAATGGTTACCTTCCCCTCCCCTTGTTAGAAGAACAAGATTTTTCTCTGACATTCACTGTGAGAACTTCGTGGGGTTCCAGGAAGTAAAAGTGTGTCCCTGGCCTGGTCTCCAGGAGTTTTTCTCTCTCAGGTTAGTCCATGCTCAGTCTCTAATAATTAGTGAATTACCCTTTAGGTATTCCTATCTGATGCTGGGCCCAGAATTGGTTTCCGGGTGTTTTCTCCTCCAGGTAAACTGTGATTCTTTATATTTCTCTGTGTCTCAAGTTTTCAGGGTGATGGTTTTGTCCTGTACCTCAGTTCTCTCATGGATCAAAGCATACTGTTTTCAGTTTTTCAGCATTTTTTTTTTTTTTTTTTTTTTTTTTTTTTGTATGGACTGTTTGTTTTCAGATTTTTTTTTTTTTTTTTTTTTGTATATTAGGATGGAAGCTATGACCTCATGATTTTTGCTTTAATTTGGAGCAATAAAACTATCTTAATGTGGGGAGGGTGGGAGGGAGGGGGACAAAGAGGGAAGAGATATGGGAACATATATATATGTATAACTGACTCACTCTGTTGTAGAGCAGAAGCTAACACACCATTGTGGAGCAATTGTACCCCAATAAAGATGTTAAAAAAAAAAAAAAAAACTATCTTAATGCATTTTAATGGTATCAATACCATCATCAGGTGATGCTTTGGAGACTGATTAGCCTGACATGTGAGGTATTACAAATAAAACCAAGGCTCTTACCAGACTGATCAACATTATTTTCCACAGAGGTCTGACATAAAATCCTGCCTGATGTTACTGTGAACATTTGGATCCAGACCTATTATTCTCATTAGGAATCAGATTGCCCTACTGGCTGGGGGAAGAGAAATATGGGTGGGTACCTGGGAGTAGAATAAATGACACTCTTTAAGTGGCAGTATTCACATTTTTATTGAGCAGTAAAAAATATATGTAGTCAACATTGTTACTTTCATTTGCAAATAAAAGAGTTGGGAAGTATAGAAACCTGTACTTAACTTCTTATCAAGAGTACTTATCATCAAATTACTCCCATCCAGGCTTCTGCAGGTCTGTAATTTTCTTTCCAATGGATAGGAGTATGTGGTGGGAATTCCAGTTGATAACATTTTTATTAAAAAAAAAAAAAAGAATCAGCATAGTCAAGTTGTCTTAGTGTTACGGATTTCTGGATTTTGTCCTTGGAGGAGGTCAGGATCTTCCCAAGGCCTGGGTCCTCGAATATTCTTCCAGTCCTCAAAAGTGGAGTCCTTTATTTTCTATAGAGCCACAAATATTAGAGGATAAATATTAGTATAGGAGCCCTGTGGGTTCGATTAGGACCTCAGTGAATGAATGAATAAATGAGTAGAAAGAATTCAATAGGCCCTCACTTGTAATTCTAGTAAATAACTGCATATCAAGCTTAATAATTAAAGAAATGTCATATTTCTTAGGAATTAAAAATTTTCTTACTTCCTATTGATGTTACTGCCTATCTTTCCCCTCATCAGAATTAAACTATTAAAACAGAAAAACTCTATATTTTTAAAAAATTTATTTTATTAAATTATAGCTTATTTACAATGTTGTATTGATTTCTGCTATACAGCAAAGTGATTCGGTTATACATATATATGTATATACACACACATACATTTTCATATTCTTTTCCATTATGATTTATCACAAAATACTATAGCTCCCTGTGCTATACAGTAGGACCTGGTTGTTTATCCATTCTATATATAATAGTTTGCATCTGCTAATCAAAAACTCCCAATCCATCCCTCCCCCATGCTCCCCCTTGGCAGCCACAAGTCTGTTCTCTATGTCTGTGAGTCTGTTTCTGTTTTGTAGATGTGTTCATTTGCATCATATTTTGGATACCATAATAAGTGATATCATATGGTATTTGTCTTCCTCTTTCTGATTTATTTCACTTAGTATGATAATCTCTAGGTCCATCCATGTTGCTGCAAATGGCATTATTTCATTCTTTTTCATGATTGAGTAGTATTCCATTGTATATATTAATATGCACCACATCTTCTTTATCTGTTCATCTGTTGATGGACATTTAGGTTGCTTCCATGTCTTGGCTATTGTGAATACTGCTGCTATGACATAGGGGTGCATGTATCTTTTAGAATTATAGTTTTCTCCAGATATATGCTCAGGATTGCTGGATCATATGGCAACTCTATTTTTAGTTTTTTGTGGAACCTCCATACTGTCTTCCATAGTGGCTACACCAATTTACATTCCCACCAACAGTGTACAAGGGTTATCTTTTCCCTAAACCCTCTTCAGCATTTGTTATTTGTAAATTTTTTTAATGATGGCTATTCTGACCTCTGTGAGGTGGTACCTCATTGTAGTTTTAACTTGCATTTCTTGAATAATGTACATGTTTTATTTTTGAGAGCACAAAGAAAGGGATGAAGCTGGGAAAACAAAACTCCAGGTCTGAACGCTAATCCAGCATAATAATGACTAGCATGGGTTAACATGGGTGATGGCAGTAAATGAAGAGAACAAAAGTGGAGAATCTAGAGTCTGCTAGAAGGAATAGAGACCAAGATGATTTGTTCTGCACCTAAGAAATGAGCCTGGGCTGAAGAATGAAAAGATATTCCCCATAGCTGCCATAAGCAAAGCTCTTTTGGGGCAATAAAAACTAGCTTCAACCACAGTTTGGATCACCATATCTTTAGTTAGTGTGAAGTGTCTCTCAAGCACAGGAATGAAAATATGAAGAAAGGGAAGAACATAAACCTTTCTTTACCCTTCTGACACCACTCTGACAGTAACTTTCATATATCTGCTTTGGTTATTCTGGAATAATTAAATGAACAAGATAGAAAAAGAAACACAGAGAACACAGGACAGGTTTTACACAGAGACAGGGAAAATGATATCAATTTAACTTGACACTTGGATACTAAGCACTACTGTTTTACTAACAAGCTATATAACCCTGGGCTAGTGATTTGAGCTATCTGGGCACTAGTTCTCTCAAAAGTAATGAAAAGGCTAGACCAAATGGTCTATATGATTTCTTCAGCTCTCAAACTCTACAGCTTCTAAAAGAACTTTAAGGAACGTCCACTCCCAGACAAACCCTCCATAGCTATATACTGAGAAGTAGCAAATTAGAGGTTTTGACAAGATAATGGGGAAAG